TCAATTATCATCGGGGACTTCAACATGTTGGCCTCAGACTTTGATTTGTTTCCGCATTTGCAGTCCCTTGGGTGGCACGACCTCCTTGAGTGGCACCTCAGGGTTAAAGGTTCAGAAATGCCGCCATCATCTAAGAATGCCACCAACCCAGATAATGCAATTCTCTGCCCAAGGGCGGTAGCGTTGCTGCTTGATGTCCAAGTCCTGGGTGATGACTGGTTTGACACTCATCGGCCTGTCCTTTTTCGCCTGTCCTGTCCACAACAAGCAGAGTTGCCTGCGAGCCTCAAACAACCACGGTCCTGGGGTGAACTCCCAGTTGATGCAAACCTCATTCAGCAGGCATATCAACGATGGACCCCACATCTTTGCACACCGTCAACCATCGAGCAATGGGGGCATAAGGTGGAACGGGTGGTTGACCTTGCCTTGAAAGACTACCACACCACTCATCCTGAAGCGTTGAACTGGGGGACTTATCCTGGTCTTCCAAAGCCGTATCGGGGTAGATGTCAACCACCGAAGGTTCGCAATAAACCAATGAGCTTTGTGAAAGAAGGCCGCCATGGCCTGTATGCACCCAACTGCGAAGTTCATTCCCTGAGTACTGCCCGGAAGATTCGTCAACTCCGCCGCATCCAAGCACTGCGCCAGAAACTCGCCAAACAACAGTTCCCTGCTAGGGCTAACCTAGAACAATTTTGGTCTGAATGGCAGGCCATTTGCAGAAGTCGTGATTTCGGCACAGCATTTCTCAAGTGGCTTGCCCACTGGCCAGAAGCACCGCAGGTGGCCCTCCACCTGTTGCCGTCACCAAGTGACCTTTGGGACGTTGAACAATTGGTCCGATTCCAGGTCGATAAAGTTGTTCGTGCAGATCAGAAAATCTGGCAGGCCAAACAGAAATACATTGCACTCCTTGACCAGAAAGACCTGCATCATCGTAATCAATTTGCCCGGACTAAAGGACCATCTAAGCCAGCTGTTCGTGAACTCGTAATTCACCCACAGGCCACAGTGTCTTTGATCACACAAGTCCCGCTGCAGGAGACAAGCTCAACGTCCACTGGGAACGTCACCTGGGAGGTGCATGGCCCTGACCTTAAGAGATTCACCTGTGGCCCAGCTAAAATTGACCAGAGAGATTGCACAATTGTTGCCATACATGATTCGTTCCTTCACTTGATGAGTCCAGCAGACAATTTGATTGGCCGAGGACAATATGTCTTGTCTCAGGAACAGTTCGCATTCACTCACACTGAATTGTGCCAACATCTCACTTGCTACTGGAAGCAATACTGGCAACGCGAGCCACTCATAGACCAGGACACTGGTGATCAGCTTGCCCAGATGATCATGCGATTACCTCCTGAAGAATTGGTGCCGATCAATGAACTTGACCCCCAGTTATGGGAAGCCACAGTGAAAACATTGCGGTCGCATGCTGCCACGGGTGTTGACGCCATTTCGGCATATGAGTTGAAGATGTTGCCAACGGCATTGATTATGGAACTTGCGGCCATCCTCTGTGCCTACACACAGGGCTTCCCCCGGTGGTATATGGCGGCCAGGGCCATTCCACTCCCAAAATGTTGGGGACAGCTCCGACCTGATGACACCCGGCCAATAACAATCCTTAGTCAGACCTATCGTTTGTGGTCCAAAGTCATTAATGCACAGATCCTGTCCACGTTTGCAAGCCGTTGTCCACCCGATGTCACGGGTTTTCTGCGGCAAAGAGACGCTCGGTCGGCCGCATACCGGGCTCAGTGGCACATCGAGCAGGCTCGCATCAACCAGCTTCCGCTTTCAGGAGTCACATTGGACTTGAAGAAGTGTTTCAACTTGATCGACCGCCAACGGGTGAGTGATATCCTGCAGCGACTTGGCATTCCCGGTCATCTCCTGCATCAATGGCTAGCATCGTTGGCCCATTTCGATCGTTTCTGGGACCTTGCTGGGCTTGTTTCCGATTTGGTGCCTAGCTTCACCGGCCTACCAGAGGGTGATTGCTGGTCAGTGACGGCGATGATTGGAATCGCCTGGATCTGGGCCAATGAACTCCGGCAAGTCATTGCACCCATTGTCCCTGCCATTCGTTTGTCGGTCAGTGCATATGCAGATAATTGGTCGTGGCAATCCAATGACCATCAGATCCATGTGGAGCTTTTTCGTGCCACACACAGGGTGGCTTTGTGCCTAGGACTTGAAATTGACCACTCTAAGACTTGGCAATGGGCGACCTCACAGCAAGGGGTTTCCTTGATGTCCACTGCACTTCAGGCTAACCCGTGGCCCGTTCGTCTCCAATCTGTCATTAAGGCCAAGGATCTAGGCACCCCCATGGTGTATCAGGGCCGAGCCGGAACCAGCATGCTCCCGGACAGGGAGTCCGAAGCAGTGCAACGACTACAGCGCATCGAGTGGTCCTGCCGTTCACTACATGATAAAGTGCATCAGATTCGTGCCAGTGTGTATCCAGTCGCATTCCATGGCTCCGAAGTTGGAGTGATTGCAACCGCACAGTTAGATAATCTTCGCAACCAGGTCGTGCAGGCGGTTTTCCATAAGGTTCCTAGCATGAATTCGGCCATTGCTTTCCAACTCATAGATGAGAACCTGCTTGATCCGGCCCTTTTTGCAATCCTTTTGTCCATCAAGATGGCACAACGGTTTTTGCACCACTGCTCACCAGAGGAACAACAAACTTTTCTCAAGGTGGCAGCCACAGCCAAGGGCACAGCAGGCCACATCTGGGGACCAGCCTCAGCACTGAAGGCCAATTTGCTGAGAATCGGATGGGGCGTTAGCCGTGACGGGTCGATCACATCACCACACCTGATACCGCTTTCGATAATCCATGACTCGTTTGCCAAACTGCAACGCTTTGCCAAAGCCTCATGGGAAGTGGACTTTTTCCTCCACTTCACCCAAAGAAAGAACCTCACGGGATACCCCGACATCTCGCACCGCCTTACACCTAGAGCCCTGAAGAAATTTCCTGGAGCCACCCACGTTCGACTGGTCCGCGAGTTGGCAGGTGGATTCCAGACCAAAGAGCAACAAAGCAAATGGGACACACAGGTCTCAAGCCAGTGTGAGCTATGCCAGTTTGAAGACTCTCGATACCACCGAATTTTCGATTGCCCTGCTACACAATCAGTTCGAGCCCGTTTCGCACCTGTCTGTAACTTTGACCAATGGGTTGAAGCCGAATGGCATGAAACTGCAGGCATCATGATCCCCAGGCTGCAGAGCCTTGCTCAAGCACTTGTCCATAACCTTCCGGAACCTGAAGTGCCCGCTTTTGTACGACAACACGTTCTCCACTCCGGAACCAGAGTAGCATTCTACACAGACGGAAGCTGCCAATGCCCGGAACAGATGCCATTCTCGACAGCGGCATCGGCTTTGATTATGGATTTGTGCCAGTCTGACACTGAGCGAATCTGGCAGGCCAACAATTGGTTGACCACTCGTTCGATGCCACAGTCCCTAGTGAGGATTTGGACTGCGCAGTGCCCTGGAGAACAATCCATTCACAGAGCCGAGCTTCATGCACTGGTTAAGGCATGTGAACAATTGTCACAGGTGGACTTGTACTCCGACTGCCAAAATGCAATTGATGCGGTGTATAAAGCCCAATCAGGCACACTCCAATTGCACCCTGATGTGGACCACCTCGATTTGCTCCGACGCCTGCAACAGGCTCCGGGCTTGCTACAAGTCCGAGTTCGCAAGATTAAAGCTCATCTTTCACCAGAGTTGGTGTCCGACCCTCTGCTCCGCTACCACACGTTAGGTAATCAGTTAGCCAATGATTGGGCCCAGCGGCGCAGCTTGGATCAGAATGATCCGGTGAATGCAGAACTCCTGCTGCAAATGCGTGACATTCGCCAACAACGTTTGGACCTGGACGCTTTCCTCCAATATGTCGCTGCTCTTCAGTTGGAACGCCAGACACAGCTTGATCTGCTGAAATTGACAGGAGATGAACCCATCCCCTCCCGGTGCCGAGAACAAGGATTGAGTTAGCTTCCGACGCATGGGAAGGATGCAGTTGGGGACGCGATATAGCATGTCACGTCTGGAGGTGGATTTGCAAGCTGCAATGGCCTGCCCACATCGCTGCAGATGACAACGACGGAGTTGGGGTCACCTGGCTAGAGCTGTTTGTTTCCTTCTGCCTCGACCAAAAGATCTTGATCGGGGTGATTCGACAAGCGCAAAAGGAGAAAGAACTCCTGCCAGTGTCCAGTTGGCACGATGTCATCCAGTACCAGATTTTTGTTGAGACCTTTTGCCAAAGTTTTGCCACCTTGGTCCAACAGGTTGCTCAACTCTCCAACCCCCATGGTTGGCCGACGGTTCCCAAAGGCATGGTCAAAAGCCTGTACATGCTTGGCGCACGGCAATGGCACCATGGACTCAGGGTCCGGCCGGTCTTTCCGGCTCAGACAGAGACGATCTGCCTTGTTCGTTCATGGATCTCCACAGGCCATGCGACTTCCCATTTAAAATGGGTGCCAGGTCGCTTCTTTGAGCCGCTCCGCAACCAGCATGCAGCTCCACGCCCGTGGAGCCAGCTCGCCAAGAGCTTTCGAGCACGCCTTCGTAGATTCCGTGCTGAGTGTCCCCAATGAGGGCAATCGCTAGGCAGTTGCCCGGCCAATGCGCCCAGGCTGCTGACCCCTCTAACCAGCGGAAAAGGTGTGTTTTTTTCTTGGCATCATTCTACACACATTCATGTTCTCGCAACAACAACAATTGTGTTGCTTCTTTTACCAAAGGGACGTGAGCAAAGGTTCACAAATTGTGTGGTTTGTCCATCACAAATCAAATGGTATCCACTTATATCCAGGGTATCAAATGTGTTTCTGGCGTCCGTGTGTTTCAGTATGACGTTCTGTATAGACCTGTTCTGTTTCCCATGAAGACGTGGAACACACCCAACCCCCGGCCGCCCCGGCCCCCAACCCCCAGCAGCTAAGGCGTCCGGCCGGCACGGCCACATCCACAAAGCGATCAACGTGTTGCACTTGTGGCCTTGGATGCTCGACTATGCCCGACATGGTGAACCAATGGCATAACAACACAGAACCACCACCACCACCAACAGCAACAACAACAACAACAACAACAAGGTACACCCCAAAACTAGGGCCATGCAAGAAACATGTTGCCTTTGTCTTTGGAGAATGAACAAGAACTGGAGCCCTGCTGTGCGGCCTCAACCCCACGTGCCATCACAGATCATCACAAACACTCGCAATCGCTTACAAGTATGACAGCATGACCCAAAATTCCAGTGTATAAGGCCTACTAGTGGTAGCAAGCGGGCAGTGGTGGTAGTACTAGTACTAGTTGTGGCAATGGTGGTAGTAGTCGTAGTTGGGGGTAGTGGCGTGAGAAGCAGTAGCAAAGTAGCACTAAGGTACTAAGGAGCAATATATAATATAGCAGTGGTAGCAGTGCAGTCGTACCGGTACTGGTAGTTGCAGTCGTCACTACACCCAGCAGGCTCTACCCTGGGGAGTGTCCTCTCGTTCATCTCAGCTTCACAGTTGGTAGTTTGGGATGTTTGGGAACCACCCCAAAAACACCATGGGCTTGGTGGGAGAGCTTTGGGTGTTGGCGATGTGAAACACTCGCCAGAGTACCCTTCTTCAAGGAAATTCCATCATGTTCAAAGGTTGCATTGACCAGATCCAAAAGGACAAGAAACTGAACCCCAAGCTGAAATCACAGGCAAAGCAGGTATCTACAGTACCAAATTTGAACTTATAACTTGGGTGAGCAGTGATCAAGCTTCTTCGTCGGAGCTGCAAGATTGCGTTGTGATACCCGGACGCACCAAAAACACAAATTTGTCAGACCAACCCAAACCAAGGTGAAACAACTCCACCCATCGGCGATACAAACAAATTGGTGACCATCATTTGGGCATCCAATTTTTGTCACCACCACCACCAACAACCAACCAACCAACCAACCAACCAATGTGCGATCAACAACCAACAACACCTGCCAACCTCCTCAGCTCATTGCCATGTGAATTCATCTAAAATCCCGACTTGTGCAAATCACTGGACGCCCCGGCACATGGATCTGCCGAGACTGCTTCGTGGCGGTTGGCACCAGTCGGTGGCGTTGCACTGGCACTGGCACCTGGGGCCACCCACCGCGCAAACACTGCGGACACCGCGCAGCCAGCTGCGGAACGGGCGGTCATAACCAGGTGGACCAGGCTGCTGAGTTCTGCATGGAACTATGTGCCAAGTTGTCAGGGTCCAATTTAGTCTTTGGGAGTGCACAGATGTTCACTTTGGGGGTATCCCCTCTACTAAATCACCTACGGATCCGGACGAGGGTCACAGCACATAGGGTTTAATCCCCAGTCGCCTGTTATAAAGGGTTCGACCGCGAAGAGGTCGGGTCCAAAGATGCTTAGGGATGGAATTAGGTACAGTACCAAGTTTGAGTTGTAACAGGGTTAGAAGTGAACAAATGGCCCAGGTGGTGGCCCAGTTTAATCATTAAAAGTTGCAACTGAGCCCTACATATCTGATATCAACAGTAACATTTATTTTTCTGCTTCTCCATCCCAAACGTCCCCAAATCCAAGAAACTCGTGAAACCGTCCCACGTGTTCTCAATTCTGGGCATGTGGACGCATGACCTAGCTCCTGCCGGGCTGCTACTGCTACAACTCAAGAATAATTCAGAATATGTTTGCGATGTTATTTATTAATACGTGGGCAGCTGGTTCAAAAACAAGATGGAACCCACGAACCCGAATGCAAACACGTTGAAATAGCTTCATATGTCCAAATGACACTCTTGTAGGACACTCTTGTGGGACACTCTTGTGGGTCACTCTTGTAGGAAACTA